GGTGAGAGGCTTCACCAGAGACAGAGTGGGGAGCAGAACAGGCAGATCAATGAAGCACACTGCTAGGAGAGCAGGGGGAGGGTCAGGAGAGATCTGCCTCACCATGTGGGTCACCTCCCAGGCTGGATCGAAGTCATGCTGAAGTGGCTTTAGTTTCTTAGTGCTGGGCTTTAACCCACTGAGCCCCCAAGGAGCACCCCCAAAAGCCCATTTTAAGGATGAAAAGACCAGACAGAAGCTCCCAGGTAAAATGACTCAAACCAAAGTCAATGTCCACCATTTTCAGAAGCAACACCTCAGGCACAATACTTTAAAAAACGTTTTCCCTCACTAATGCCTGCACCTAGAGCTGCTTCTTGCTGTCTCCTCTCTTCACGCCCCAGTGTGTGTCCTTTCACCCAGAGTCAGCTCCCTACAGAAGAGGAAACCCTCATGCTGTTTCATTTTTCCTACTTGCCCTTCTCACTTTCAAATATGAGCTGCCCTCTACTTGAGCCAGCCATAACCATTCAATTTTACTCTTGGACCCTTTTTTTAAAAATTTATTTTATATGTATTTTTTACATCTTTCTTCTTTGTACCTCTTTTTTTTTTTTTTTTTAAATCCCTGTGGACTTTCCACCACCACTTCACCCATGTGAAATTGCCATGGAAAGCTGAAGGTTTCTCAAAATGCTAAACATGGAGCTTTCATATGGTGTAGCAGTTCTACTCGTAGGTATCTACCCAAAGGACAAAAAAAATTAGTTATATAGGACAATGCAATCTTGTGTTTATTGCTGCACTATTTACAATAGGGAAGATGTGGAATCAACCCAAATGCCCAAAAATAAATGACTGGATCAAGATGTGGTACATATATACAATGGAATATTACTTGGAAATCAAAAAGACAGATATACGCTTGGAACTTTCTTAACCGATGCACATACAGAAAATAAAAACTGCTTTAATCTTGAGTGTACATAGGTCTGGGAGGGCTTACTTATGTATACATATCCCATGTCTATGCTTGCTGCCAGATCAAGATACAGCTATGCCAAGAGGTTCCTTTACTCCTTCCTCCACTAGTCCCCTCCTACAAAGGTAGAGTTGCTCTAATGTGCATCACCATAGTCTGGTTTTACCTGTCTTGTCCTTCAGGAACATGGACTCTAATGACTTGTACACTGTGTATCCAACTGCTTCTGTTCAACACATCCACTGGACATTGAAAACATGAGCTTCATCTTCCCCAGGAGGCCTCTTCCAGTGTGTGAACCCCACTTCTGTCCACACTCAGCCTGATAACCCCATTCCCATGCAGCCTTCCCAAGGCTCCTCGCACTAATGGAAACTTCGATGTAGGCCGCACTGTACCTATTTGATTCTCTGCATTTCTGCAGAGTACTGCCGGGGAGTGTACCTCAGGGCCTCAATAATCATCCTACCCATTGACTCATCATCATTTTTGTTCACTGACCCCCCCAATCATTGATTGACTTCTGTTTCTCTTACCAGGTCATCTGCTTTGCGAGGGCAAGAATCTGATCCTTATTCTAATCAATATACATACCCGGTATGGAATTTGCTAGTATTTTCTGAGTACCAGCGAATCTAACCTGTATCAATAACATTATATTTCATTAATATTGCCATTCTTTTTGAGGACAAAGCTGAAGTTTGGTGTGTGACACACTAGCTCGAAGTAAAATGGTTAAGTACGGTCAAAATCAAAGCCAAGCAGTCTGGGATGTGAAGTGGTATCCCTAGCAGGTGTTTATGAAATGCTGTGGGAACCAGGAAGGGTGGGAGCTACAGGATGCTGAAAGGCAGACTCAGTTAAGAGAATAACCAAGTCTGGGCTCTGGTGGAGCTGGTATGTCAGGTAGCGACATGTACAATTTACACAGAAACTTATGTCACGGTTTTGATTTTAAAAGCTCTATCTCACCCTAATACGGGACAAAGGGATTTAGGATGGTTTTATAAAAGACAAATAAATCACAACTTCCTTTACAATAATCCCAAGCAAACTCTCAAATCTTTGACACCGTCTTTTTGTTGGGTAAGATGGGTTTTTCTCACTCATACTCAATTGGAATTTCCAAAGTGCAAAGGCAATTGAAAGTGAAATATCAGCTTCATGTGGGAGAGTTGTTCACCAGAAAAATCCACAGTGATCCATTTGAGTCTCTGTACTCCACACCCAGGCAAGTTTGACTCTTCCTTGGCTTACAACATGGGTTTCTACACAGCCCTTCCTGCTGCGGCAGTTCTTGTGATGTGATCCCAGGCATGCCGTCTCTGGGATGGAGAGGCCACTTTCAGTAGAGCCTCAGCCCCCAGCCAGTTTCCAGAAGTGCAGATGAAACTTTTCACTCCAGTGGCATGCTGCCGGGATGCTAATGACATCCCTTAGACACGGAGGCCCCTCACAGGGACTCCAGAGGACAGAACAACACACTCCTTGTTGCCCTCACTGAAAGGAGCCGCTTCTTGAAATGGTTTCAATTGAGTCAGTCCCACCCCCTCTTAGATGCTGTCAAAACCACACGACATCCCCTCAGGGCTTCCAAGAGCTCTGCCAAGGAGTTCACTGCTAGTAAGAAGCAGAAAGCACTAAAGCAGAGAGACTTGCTCAACACATGAAGGAATTCTAAGAACAAGAAAAACCAGGGCCGAGACAAAACTTTCAGTAGATTTAGATATAAAATCCGGGACTCACATGCCGACAGTTGATTTCTCCAAGAACACCATGTAACAATCAAGATGACTTCAGAGTCCATGCCATGCCCAATCCAAAGATTTCCCCCTTTGTTCAACCAGCAATAGAATAAGTAACATCACAAGCATGTTGATCTCGGGAATATAAGTCCCCAAGACTTGCCTGTCTACTCTGTTTACTGAGTACCTCCCTCTCGGGGGTCTCTTGCTTTTCCCAGTTCTCAGAGTAGCAACAGACAACAAACCCATAAAATCCAGCGTGCAATGTGCTGTGATAGAACAGAAAATGGAACCCAGGAAGAAGGTGGAGCTGAAAAGAGTTTTAACATAAATACCTGCCTAGGGCCCTTTTATTGCACAGTGGGTTATAGCACAGCACTAAGAAGCGAGACGCAGTCGCTTCAGCAAAAGTTTGGTCACCCGCCAGGGAGGTGACCCACATTGGCACAGCAGACCTCTCTTGTCTCTCCCATGGCTCCCCTCAGCAGTGTACTTCATCAATCTGCCTGTTCTGCTCCCCACTCTGGTGAAGCCTCTCACTGTCCCTACACCTCTGGCCTGTTCCCCAGTTGTTCTGTGTGCATAAGTAAATAAATCTTTAAAGAAAAAATGCCTGTCCATTCTGTCTAGTCATGACCTGCAAATCCCTCTGGATGGCATAGAAGGGTACAGCGATGTTCTCTTAACTCGGGAATTAGCTGTGCAGCCCTTGCTCACTCATATAATTAAGCCAGAGGCCTATAATTGGGCCAAGATAGAACAAAGACAGACTTCCTGTGCAGTACCAGCACTTGCTAGATAGATACACCTACTAAGAAAATGGGAAGTAGGCTTTGAAAGACGATGCGAGGTACAGAGGACTCTCGGTAGAGTGGAATGTTCACCAAGAATTTTATCCCCAATGGGTCTTTCTAACTTTTTCATTGAAGTGAAGAAACCTCAACCACTGTCTAATTCTTCTTTTATTCCTTTTATGACCAGGCACCATTTGTGTTTCTCCTCTCAGCCTACACATTTACCTGTTTCCTTCGAAACTCCTATACTCTAGCCTTTGGGAAAAAAACCATTCAATCTTCGAAGATGGTCATTTTTGTTCATTCCTTCACATTCAATTTAACTGGGTGAGTTCAATACACTGATCATGAAAGAAAACCAATAGGACACAGAAGTCATCCTGTGTGCAGTGAGCAAAAGTCTTATAAAGCTAACACCAGCTCAAACTTATCTAATTAAACAAATCTGACCAAAGCAAAAGAATTCCCATGTCCTAATAAAAGAGCTCTAAAATTTTGATTTTGTGGTATATTAGACAGTTAACTCAATTATTTCTTTATATATCAAGTAGTTCATGAGGTTTCAAGTATATTCCAAAATCCTGGAGCGAAACTCAAGTCAGTATTTTGTTTACTCAGTGACAAAGTCCCAGGTCATTACCTGACCTCCTGTTTTGTTAAAGATGGTGATGATCAGGCTCTTTGCTGGGAACTTTATGAACATAAAGCATTACTGAACATAAATTTTAGATTCAAGAGGGGGAAAAGATGGTAATAGGTACTAAAACCAGTAACAAAGACTTTTTCCATATAATCCGACACCTCTTAAGTATGCACTTTTCCTAAAGCATAAGCATATGTCAGGCATACTATTTACAATTTTATTCCATCCCATTTACTTCCTGTTTTTAATTAAATCATTAACAGAAGCAGGAAGGGGGCCAAAGACTCCCTACAAACAATGCCCCTTTATGAGGAGGCCCAGAATGGGTCATCTGAATGGCTGACAGGACCAACCACACTCAATTAGGAATTTATTTAATTCTTTGTAAGAGCGAAATTGTGAGAAGAATCTTTTATTACAATTGAAGGCGAATATACCCTGCAGTGAACTATAATGGGTGAAGAAAGTTGGGGTTCACTACTGACCATGTCCTGAGGATTAGCTTATCACTGCAGACACTGGATTCAAAAGCTGCCCAAATTCCACCGCGAAGGCAGGAAACCAGGGCCACCATTGTCACAGCCTCTGCTCTGTGCCAGCCTCAGCTGTCTGCGCTTCATTTTAATAAGGCAGACAAAAGGGGCTCTCCAGCTCCCACATTCTCTTGAAAGGTCCGAAGTGCAATGAAATGCTGGTGGTAAAACATTCTTCCTTCATCCTTTAAAAAGGGCAAGCTTTTGTATTTTCCATAGATGATGGTCTCATTAACAATATGGTAAATTAAGATTTTTAGGGGGCAGATGTAACACATCTACATAACTTAGATATCTATCTTTAAAGAGCTTAACCACATCCTTAAGAGCAAATGTTGAAAAACAAGTGGAATTTAGAGAAAACTTGCTCCAATAGCACAAAAAGGACAACGGATAGAAGCTGTAAGAGAAGCGGTATTTCCCCGACCCACAGAAGTACAGAAAAGCCTTAGCTAGAGAAAGGCTGATACATTGGTTGTCGATCAATCCCCAAAATATTCGGTGTACCCTCATATGGACAGTGTGAGCAAAGGCAGAGCCAGACTGATTTGTACTAACACGGGGTGGGGTGGGGGGTGGGGCCAAGACTGTGGTCACCTTGTGAACTCCCTTCAGCTCTGAAGCCCCAGCCTTCTTGAGAAACGCCCACTGGTTCCTCCTGCTACTGGCTCTGTGCCTGGCACAACCCAGATGCTCACTAAGTGTTTGCTGTTTCCCCCATTTCCTTTGGGGAGCTTTTCTGCATTCTTCATGTAAAAGTCACCGCCACAGTTTCACTGTCATACAAAAGAGGAACTATCCTTGCGCCAAATTGCACACCTCTTACTGCAGGTTTTACATTTTTTCTATCTTTAGGTGATTTCTACTAAGAAAAGTTTTTCAAAGAAGGTAAAAATATCTGGCATGAACCCTATTCCTTTTCAACCAAAGATTAAGTAGCCCAAGGATACATGTGATCAGTCTGAAGGCCCTCAATGACTCAAGGCCAAAGGTGTGGTAAAAGCCTTGTTTTCTCAGTGAAGGTACGAGTGAATCATATTAATTGCATACAGCATACGAGGAAGAAAACCTGCATAAAACCCACATATCCCTTCATGTAATTACAGAAGCAAATTACAGAAGCAAACATGTCACATAGTGATTGTTCAAAACCAGGAAGCCCAAAGCTGACCTGCAGATTTTCAAATATGGCATCAAACAATGTGACAGACTTGTAAGTAACCAACATTTTTATTTTTAAGAAACTTGCAGCTTGGCCATAATAAGTTGTCTTTCAACACCAGTACCCAGTGAGCTTAGCAGCTTTGTTCGCTTATTTAATTTTCAACTATAATTGAGTTGGTGGGAGGAAAAGGAATGAGGGAGTCACTTACTCCTTCTGTACCCAAGGAGACATCTGCCCCTCTGCCCGCTCTGGAATGTTCTCTTAATTAAAGAACTACAAATATGAGTCATACCCATGGGTTTATGGATGACATAACTAGATATTCTGAGAACATTTCTAACTGAGGAAATGGCATCTATTCAGTCTATGGCAAGATCAAAAGGCAAGAAAACAGAACAACTGCTGCAGACTGTCCCAGGAAAGGCTCTGGCCGTGGTGGCGAAAGAACTGGACATGTCAATGGGCTTCCAACGCCCTTGGATTCATCTCAGAATCTAGTGGTGGACACTACATAAATTACAAATGAGCCAGTCAGGAAAAGCTCTGGTAATATACTGACAAGGCTGAAATAAAGAACAAACACCCATCTGAACACAAAACATCAGAAAACACAGCCAAACCAGTGCACTTTCACTATTACTCATTAAAAAATATGAAACTAAAATCTATAGTTTCTGAGAATTTTCTAGAATTTCTGGATGAACACTGATCTCAAAATGTTTGCTTTTTTTTTTTTTTGAAATCCCTAAAGTCATATAAAATCCAAGATTTAGACATGCTCAATTCTCCTTTCAAAAGAGGCAAACAGAGAATGGCTAGGCCAGATTTTACTGACTGACCAAGGGGTTTAATCACCTTTAGAGTTCGAGCCTCAGTTTTGGATATAACAGCCTGCACCAGGCCCACCCAAAGTTCTCTCCTCAGCGTGGCAAGGCAGGCTTGGAATATATCAGGGCTTCCCAGCAGTTTCAACAGAAGAACTCAAAGACTTTAGAAAAAACATTTCTTTGCTTTATAAACAAACACATAGTTTGAAGCTCCTTCACTTATTCATTCCTTTGTTGGAACACTCTATTGTGGGCTTTCTCAAATCTCAAGTAGCTTACATCAACCTAAGCTTCGTAAGTTTCTTCTGCCCTTTGAAAAGTGACCTCTAGGGCCAAAAAATACTAAATGATAATTTGTTTCATAGTTTTAACATTTTTCTTTTGTCTCTCTACTGATCCAGGGAACACTGTTAAAATACTACTAAAACGTGGACCTAACTCTTAGAGAACCATGACAGACTAGGGCGGATAGTGGCACTAGAATCCCAAGAGGACAGAGAGCTTGGGAACTCCTTGCTCCACTGCTTTGCCTTCTGACCCAACATAACGTCTGCCCATGAAGACTGTCCGTACAGGACGTTTCCAAATTATCTTTGAACATTAGTTTGAACTGTTCCGGACTACTTATACATGGATTTCATTCCATCCTCAGGTCTGCAATTGATATTGCTGATTGATTTGCTTAATGTGGAACCAGGAACATGGAAGGTCAGAAAATTATCTGTGGGTTTTTAGATTGAGCCAGGGTAGAGCCCCCAAAGCCTGCAACTTTCAAGGATTAGTTGCAATTGCTCACCAATCTGAGAATGGATCACATCTTAGGAGTGGACCTGAAAATTAAGTCCCCATCTTTGTTGCATTATAAGGATGGACTGTGTAATAAGATGTGAAACTGGAAACAAACAGGAGGGCAATTCATCCTCCGCATAAACTCTGGATGGGACAGGGGAGGCATCTATGCCTTCCCCCAACTGGGCATTTCTTTTGACAGAAATCACCTTTTGCTATTTGGCTGAAGGCTATTGATTACAAAATGACCTTAGGTATACCATCAAAGTAAACCTGAATTCTAGGCTAAAACTATCTGTTAACGTTTATTTCTAGGCTCATATTTTAATAGGATTTAAACAAATGATTGTTAAACTCCTTTCTAAACATCAAAGCATGTCACCACCAGAATTCAGAGATGGAAATTATAATATTCCCCTCTTGAGCCACTGGAAGGACCTCAATGAAAAGATTAGCATTGTATAAAGCAGCCACGGCTGTGTGACTGATAGGAATTCTAGGAAATTTTAGGGTGTCTGCAGACCAATGCACTAGGCCAGGAAGGAAGTAGCAGAGGTGCTGAAACTCTGTGGCCCTCTCCCCACCCTGCACACCCACTTATACTCACTGTGTCTCAGCCCCAAGCAGCATCTCCACTTTGTCATTCGCGTGGTTACTCAGAACCGTCAGAGTGAAGAGGTGGTTGGCAGAACTCTGCCTGGAGTAAAGCATCGTGGAGCTGTTCTTCCCTGGAGAAGAAGTGAGCTCTTCATTGTCACAAGATTCCACCAATAGTTGATCTCTTAAGGAATAATCATTGACGTTGTAACTTTCCTCACTGTAAGAAAAAAGGAAGGGGACGTGTCAATAAGCTGGCTAAGTCTGAGACTGTCCATGTTACATCTGGGGAAAGGGGTGGGAGGAGGAAGGCTGGACCTGGACAAAAAGATTTACTAGAAAATATAAATTGGGGGCTCTCCCCGGTGGCGCAACATGTCAAAGCACCACATTATGAAGCTCTCCCAAGCCACTGCAGCACGAGTTCGATCCCGGCCAGGGAGCTGACCCACATGGCGTGGCAGACCTCTTCTGACCCGCCTGCTGATCCCCTCAGCAATGTACTTTGTCAACCTGCCTGTTTTGCTCCCCACTCTGTCTCTGGTGAGCCCCCTCACCAACCATACCTCTGGCCTGTACCCCAGTTTTGTAGGCATAAATGAATAAATCTTTTTAAAAAGTATGAATTGGACAAAATACTAACAAAGGTGTAAAACAATGACCCTTGAAGTAAAAAGAAAGGAGGAATAATATACGAGTTGGAATTTAAATTATCTGGTTAAGACTCAATAGCACCCCCTCACCAATCAAACCTATTTATTACTATTGTCCAGTAATAAACTGAATTGTATCTCAGGTATAAAAGCAATATTGAAAACAATGACTTAGCAATGAAGCCATTATTTTCATTTTCCATTATCCTGGAACTGAGATAACGGGTGAGACTCATGTACCACATGGCAGCCTTGAACAGACACTGTCTGCCATCACTGACGGTGCCGAGACACCGGTTCTGCGTCCCTTGGACTCTCACAGCACTGTGAGCAGGTCTAATCAGACTCCTGCCCCGACTTCCTCAGCTGGCTTCTGAGCTCCTGCAGCTGCTTCCTGTGGAAATGCAACTCACCTCGGGCATACAGCACATCCCCTAACTCCTCCGCCTCTTCCCTGAACCCTCCCGCTGTCTTCTTGTCTTAAGAGAGACTTACTTTCCCTAGAGAATGCTACTTCCCCTGAAGGCTCTCAGCCTACTGGCTTCTCATTCCTGCTCCTAGAAGATGATCACTTCCTCCTACAAAAATGTCCTCAGTTTTAAAGTTCATGTTTACCTCGTAATCACAATCACCTGCAGACACTGACATCTTTTCTCCCCTCATGATTTCATTGCTGGCTCACTGACTCCACCATTACATCTTTCTTGGATTCTCACGCAGCAGATCCTTCTACTGCCCTGGGCTCTTCCACCTTTGACTTCCTCTCCTGCAATCCTCTTGTCCTCTGCCCTCTTTCAGCCATCTCTCCATGGCCATACCCCAGACCTTGTCATTACCGACCACTCTGTAATCCCAGTGCCAAACACCGTTCAATGCCCAAGTGCCTGTCTCTCCAACTCACCACTTTTAATCCTCAATTCTCCAGTTCTTCATCTCACCAGTTCTTAAAATTCATTGACTCTTCCACTTTTGCTTTTGCCTTAAATCCTTCATATTCTCTCATTCATGTTTATTACATCAGTCCTTAGTCACAATCATTTCTTGCAGGTGGTGCTCATCTCCTTGGCAAATTTCAGCTCTTGGCAAATTTCATCTAACTATGTGATACATTTTAAAATATTCTAAGAATGGTACTGAACAATTTACCTATTTAATAAGAATGCAAACATGAATTCAGAATTGCTGAGAATAAAGAAAAACCTGGCACATAGTCAGCTCTCTTTGGAATTTTAGAATAGTCTGTGTTGCTCAAGATTTCTTTCTTCGGTGATGGGTATCTGTCAACCAGTTCCATGTAACTCTCCTTAAAAAACTTTATGCTCGGCCCTCCCTTGTGGCGCAGCGGGTTAAAGCACAACACTAAGAAGTTAAAGCCGCTTCCGCATGAGTTCAATCCCCGCCTGCCCCGGAGGTGACCACATGGCTTGGCAGACCTCTCCTGACCCGCCCGCTGCTCCCCTCAGCAGTGTTCTTCGTCAGTCAGCCTGTTCAGCTCCCCACTCTGTCTCTGGTGAAACCTCTCACCAACCACACCTCTGGCCTGTACCCCAGTTCTGTATGAATAAATAAATAAATCTTTAAAAAAAAAAAAACTTTATGCTCTTTTCCTAAAATTTAGCTTAATGAATTTACTCCTCAGAAAAGCAATCACACCATTATCTGTAAAAACAAAATGCGTGATTCTGATCCAGCCTAATAGTTACTAGCAAAGTAATCTACCTTAGCTGCAAGTTCATATAGCGAGATAGCTCCCGGGACATCTCTCCAGAGACCGCCTACAGACAGAATATCCACACTAGTATACTAATATTATTTTTTCTATCAAAATGAGCCTTTCAAAGCTGACATGATTGTTATGAAAGGAGGAAGCAGAACAATACACTTTATAAACAAATCGGGTTATATATCGAAAGACCATGATTACCAGAAACAAAGCTAGCAACCTTGGGCAGTGTAGAAAAAAAAGATCCATTGTGCTATCTACGTATCTCCGACAAGGTTGTAGAACCAGAATAAAACAAGAAACCTAAAAGCTGAAAACAAAAGCTACACCTCAAGAATAAGATCAAGACCAGAAAAAACTGGGCTGACTGAGCTCTCAACCCAAACAATACCAGCTAGCATGTTTCAGCAATGCTGTGAATCTTTGCCTTTGGGGAATGATCAGAGACAAGATAAGTGAATACATAAATAGAACTTTTTTTTAAAGACTTATCCATTTATGCATACAGAACTAGGGTACAGGTTAGAGGTGCAGGGGCAGTGGGAGGATTCACCAGAGACAGAGTGGGGTACAGAACAGGCAGACCGAAGAAGGACACTGCTGAGGGGAGCAGTGGGCAGGTCAGGAGAGGTCTGCGTGCCATGTGGTCACCTCCAGGGCGGGGAGCGAGCTCATGCTGAAGTGGCTTTAGCTTCTTAGTGCTGTGCTTTAACCCTCTGCGCCACCAGAGAGGGCCCTAATAGAACTTTTTAAAATTGTTCTCTTTACCAATGGCAACTTTAAGGCTGTGAAGAACTGAGGTGAACTTTGGGCCCAGTTTATGTCTGTGGTTCTCTCAAATGTCCAGTTTGGATAAACCACGGCCTCCTTATTCACAGCTGTGTGAGATCACAGTAAGGCGTCCCCTCCAGGGGACAATGCATCTGCCTGTTGTTAAATACACCTGAACAGGGATTTATTTCCACCGTTTGACATCTGAATTCAATGCTGGATGCAGGAAACATGTTTATTTGTTTTTGTTTTTGTTTTTTTAAGCTGATTTTATTAGCAATCATTTGCTATCACTACTTTATCAAGACCTGTACATTTCTTCATTATTTAATAAATCATTTTACAATTTCACTACTGTTTTCCTGATGTTTATATATAAAAACTTGATTTCACTTCACAGTAATGAAGTGGATTGTCAGCTACTTTTCAAATCGAGTGGAACAAAACTGAAAAGCATTTGTTCTTGCTAATTCGCACAAGGATTCTCTCTCATTCTCTGTCACACACACATATACACACATACTTTTAATTTCGTAAAGTAAAGGTTCAAAGTAGTAGTGAGCTTTTGCCTCTCTGAATCTCTAAGATAGCAAATGAAAATACACTCTCCTAAAGTCAGCAAGAAACTAGTCTCTCACATTTAAAGGCAGGGTAACTGTGTTAAAAACAGTGCTGGAGCAGAAGGGAGAGGTAAGACTCTAGAGCAGATGCCCAGAGTCAGGAGTTCCTCTGCTCACTCACTCACCCATTTCCAGCAAGCAGAAAGCTGGCACGTGGGAGGGGGAGAGAAGCCCCTTTCCTGTGGGAAGTCGATGCTAATCAGACTTCCCCGTGTTTGTCCTATCATTTAACAAACATATGGTTTACATAGTCTCTGAAACAATTTGGATCATGTAATTAGGAAGTTAAATTGCTCAGAAAAAGGCAAATGGAAAAACCATCTTTCCCGCATGGAGTTTATATGTAGACTTCCTCTGATTGTGCCCTACGGGTTCCAAGTTCACCAGCTGCTCCCAAGGCTGTCTGCTTTGTGTCACGAGCTCCTATCAGAGGCAGCAATCAAACCCATATAAGCCTTTGCTCTGTGGTGTAAACAGGGATGGATCTACCCATCAAACCTGCTTTAAGGCCTTTGCGGAGGTTCTTTTCTCTTTTTAACAAGGTAAAGGACTTCAGCAGAGAACAGTGGTAAATACACATCATAGTCCTCCCCAGGGAGAGGCACTCAGTCAGGGCTTGGCTTCACTGTCTTCAATGCATCAGCAAAGGGAGAAAATGACACACCCCATGGTCAACAGTGGCTCTCCTACGCCGATGATTATGGAGCCCTTTTATGCTTTTTCTCGCATAAATTCCTACAAGGGTTGGAGTCTCATAATGAGCACATATTTATGACTTTTAAATCAAGTCACTTGGCAACTGCATATAACATACATACATTCTGGAAATACCAAACAACGCACATATGCATGCAGTGGTGAGCACGGGATGAAAGATACCACCCTCAGCACAGGAGTTCCCCGGGAAGGGGGGGGCGGTGAGAGTGGAGAGACTTTGCAGCATCACATGGGTTTTCTGTTTGTGAAAGAGAGAGCTGACATGAAAGTGGCAACGAGTCATTATCTGGCAAATCTGGATGATGGGTATGTGAGTGCTTCATCATTTCCTATATATCTGAAATATTTCACAATTTAAGAGGAAAAGTAGTAAGTAATTAATCCACAGGTGTGACGTCTACCATTAGCCTGGGTATCTGCAGATACCGAAGAGTGCGGATGAAGAGACTGCTGGACAAAGGTGTGTTTCTGACCTACAAGCAGCGATTTGCAGATGATCACTGACTACCAGCAAAATGAAAGTTCACAAACATGGTTGGGTCACAAAAAATACCTTCTTATATATGAATATGAGTGACACTGTTGAAAAGTATAAAAGGATAAATCATGTTATGTATAATAACCATATAACCCACTTAATATTTAGGAGTAAATGTAGCTTTCTTCCATATAGAAACAGCCTTCAAAAACTTCAGAGTACTTCAAAATGTTTGAATGGATGTGAAAGTTTGATATT